TCCTCCCCGGCCTCCATGGGTCCTCAGGGGCACTGTCCTTGGTCCTGAGGCCCTGCTGATGTGCCAGCCCCATCCCTCACCCTCTCCCACTGGGTCTCTCCTGAGGGTGCCAGGCCCTTTACCCAGAGCAAAGCCCCCCATTACAGAAGGCAGGGGAGGGCCCTGGATGGGCACCCCCGGGGCTGGCCCTGTCCCAAGCAACCAGAGGTCCAGGAAGTGGCTGGGATCAGTGGGCAGGTGGGGACCGAGCTCAGGGGGGACTCTGCCTAGAGGGAGTGACAGAGGGATGTAAAAAAGAAGACCAAGGAGGACGGAGCCTGCCGTTGGGCGGACGGAGGTGGCTTCTGTGCTTTCTGATTTACGGCTGCAGCAGGTCACCACAAACTCGGTGGCTTAAATAACACCAACCGTTCCCTCACCGTTCTAGGGGGCAGAAGTTCAAAAGTGGTCCCTGGGCTCCCATCAAAGTGGCTCCGGAGGCTCCAGGGGAAGCTGCGTCCTTCTCTCCCAGCTTCCTGTGGCTGCCTTTACCCCTTGATCCATGGCCCCTTCCTCCACCACCCACCCTGAGGCCACCTTGCCCCGGCTCTGAGGCCTCCTCGTCCCTCGGGTCAGGATCCTTGTGATTGCACCCAGATAGCCCAGATGGTCTCCCCACCTGCGGACCTTGACCTCACCGCATCTGGAAAGCCTCGTCTGCACAGGACGCTCACGGTTTCCAGCCATTAGGAGCTGGATACGTCCAGGGCCACCATGCAGCCCGCTGCAGGCGGCTTGAGGCTGTTGGTTTACTGTGTCTCAGTTTCCCCACGTTCCCCTCTCTTCCCAGAGAGGGCAGGGTGGGCTTGCTGCGGTACGGTTTCTGCTGCTGCTCCCCAATGTCTCGTTCTCCTCCCTAGCACATGGGACACCTGCTCTGGGCTTCCTAGTCATTGGGCCAATGGGCTCTGAGCAGAAGCCATGTGGCCTTTTCTAGGTGGACGCACAGAAAAGCAACCGTGAGATCTTCAGGCTGCCTCTGTAAGACCAGTAAGTTCCAGAAGAAGGTGAAGATCTGACCAATCTACGGCTCTGAGTGACTCCACAGAGCACAGCCCAACCTCCCACTTCTCTGCTGATTGACACAGGACATGTAGAAGAGCAAAAGCAAACCTTCCTTGTGACAAACAAGTGCTATTTGGGGGGGGGGGCCTGTTTGTTACTGGAGCATACCCAGCCTAACCTGACTAATACACTCAAGGAATGAGTTTAACAAACAGCCACTTACTGACCGCCTACCAGGACCCAAACACGCTACATCCTTGACACACAGGCCTCAGAATCACTCAAGCGTGGTCAGAATAATCTAGTCCATTTTATAGGTGAGGAGGCTGAAACAGGGAGGGGTGGAGGCCACAGCTGGAATTCAAGCCCAGAATAACGTGTTTCCAAAGATTAGCTGAGCTGCTGCAAGGTCCCTCCTACAAGGAGGGGCTAGAGAGGCTTCTAGAACCTTCTCTAGCCCCAGAAAACTGCTACTTCAAGGGTCAGTAGGAGCTTCTAGACGGGGCAGATGAACCCTGGTGCCAGAATCCCCAGTGACAATGTGTGTCCATGCCTGAGTCTTGCAGGCCTGAGAGGACCCCTCAAGACCAGCTGAAACCCCTTGTGAGGGCCGACCAGCTCCTATTCACAGCCTCTCGCATCCCGGTGCTGAGAGAAGGTTTGTGGAGCACCTGTTTGCACCCCGCTGTTCTGGGCACCTGGCAGAGGGCAGTGAACCAGATCTACGGGGCTTACACTCACGTCGCCAGAACAGGCGGCGCTCTGAGCGAGTGAGTCGGAGGTGCAAGCACTGTGGGGAGAGGAGAGTGGACGGGTGGGGCATGGGAGGACCTGCAGGCTGAACAGGTGGCAGGGGTGGCCTCAGGAAGGGATCCCAGGAACAGCCTGGAGTGAGCCCAGGAGACCCGATGGCCTGTGCGAAGTCCCTACCGCGGGACGCGTAGGCAGAGCAGCGAGGGGGCAGGGGGACCAGGGAGGCAGCTGGGGACGCTGCAGCCCGCAGATGGCACCGCGATTACCCCTCCCCAGAGGGAGGAAGCCGGCGCTTTTTCCACCCGCTTATCTGATGCTGTGGTTGGAGGAGCCAGCGGGACGCGAGGGGCTGCTGGGCGCGGCACATCTGAGGAACCTCAGCGGGGACCTGAGGCGGCTGACATCCGCTCGGCCTGCGGCTTCTTCCGTGGCTTCCGCATCTCAGGTGGCCCTGACGCCTGCTATTTTCGCTCCCGTTTGGGGTTCTGTGGAGTGTTCCTCCTTGCAGGGCACTGGAGGCTGCTGGGCCCGGCCCCTCTTTGTGTTTGCTTTGCTTGGAGTAAGTGGGAGAGGGGTCACTCCAGTGTTCCAACTGGGGGACACTTGTTGTCCACCACGGGGAAGAGGAAATTGATTATACGGTGTCCTCTTGTCAGATGTCATGACCCTCCAAGCTCAGAGAGGTTAGGTGGCTTATTCAAGGTCACACAGCCAAATCAAACCACAGACCAAGGATTCTCACCCTAAGTCTAAAGGGACTTAATTTGCATTTGCTGCCTGCATTAGTTTTCCCCAGTGGACACACTGCGCTCTCTGGCTTTCTAGTAGGCATGAGAATAAAGGGGCACTGCCCATGGGTGACATCCTCCAAAATGTCACCACAGATGGGAAGGACGATGACATGGACGGAGGGGGCCATCAGAGCAGGCTTCTGGGAAGCCACAAAGCTCCCCCACACCTGCAGGAACCAACAGAGGGAGGAAGGTAAAGGAAGCACATTCTGGACCAAGAGAGGCCCAGCAGTTGGAGGAGGCCGGACCTGCCAAAGTGAGATCAGCCTGGTGCCCCGCCCCAGGGAGCAGCTGCAGGTCGCAGCAGAGCCCCCCACCCCTGCGGGTTAGGAGGACATCTAGGGAGGACTGAGCTCAAAAGCTCACGCTGATCCTCTCGCTGATCCCCTCGCTGCGGTGAGAGCAGACTCTAGGGGGAGAGGTGGAGGCAGGGAGGCCTGGGAAGAGGCTCCCGCAGCCTCCCAGGGGACAGGAGAACAGGTGAAGACACAGCCGCCGCAGGTAGCTCTGATGAGGGAGAAGGCAGAGAAGGGTCAAGCCTGCCTCTGGAGGTGTGGCCGAAGCCTTGGGAGTGAGGAGTGGGGATCAGACAAGACCATTTAGAGTCCCTGCCTCCTGTAAGAGGAGCCCTCTGGGGGTGGGGACAGGCTCCAGGGCCTCAGCCATTCTTCAGGGTCAGGGTGAGTGAGCTGCCACACTCTCCGCTGCAAACCTAGAGACAGAGGACGCAGGCCCAGGGTTCCCTTTCCAGGGCTCATCTCCACCGACACCAACCGCAGTGGCCTCCGGGCTCTCCCCGGAAAACAGACCCGGGCCTGGGAGAAGCTGGAGGCCCGCCCCACCGTGGCCCCCTGTGTGAGCACTAAGGGCCTCCAGCCCCACGGAGACGGGGCTTCTGGGCAGCCCCGAGTGCCCTGTGCCTGGGCTGCCTCGAGGGACAGGACTCCATGACCACTGGTCAGTTATGGAGAGGACAGCGGGCAGTCACCAGGGACGCCCCGGGCGAGGGAAGGAGACTAAGGTGGAGAAGGAGCCTGCCTCCCTCCGGGGGCTCCCCACACCCCGGTTTCCATCACAGTAGAACAGGAGACACTGCTGGGACCAGCCGGATCACCTTCCCAGGAAGTCAGAGCAAAGACCCAGCCTCAGCCACCCAGCAATGACACAATGGCCGGAAGAGCCCCCAGCTCAGGCTTCCCGCCCCCGGGCACCTGCATCTTCCCAGAAGTATTCAGTGGGTGCCTACTCTGTGCCAGCCCGTTTGCAGAAGACTCCCTGAACTCCAATCATGAGCTCCCCAGGAAGGGAGAGCACTTTTATTTACTAAGCACCAACAAGGTGCTTTCTGTATCTGGTCCCGTGTGATCCTAACCACCTGTAGACTCAGAGAGGTAAGGCAACTGGTTCAAGGTCACACAGCAAGCAAGGAACAGAGCCATGGTTCAAAGCCGGGACTTAAACCTGGGTTCAACTTCTGTTCTCTGGGTGGGGGGCAGAAAGGGGTGGCAGCCCTCCAGCCACAGTGTCCCTCCCAAGGCCATCCCTCCCCTCCCTAGACCATCCTCCTGGGTCAGTACTAAGTGCTTTGAGGAATTCCTTTTCCCAGTGGAGACCCCAAGAAACTGCTGTCAGCCAGGCCCTAAACAGAACTCAGAGCCTCTGACTCCAGGCACAAGGTGGGGGTCCCCGGGCCACACACACCCGTAAACCAACCCCCTGCCATGGGCTCAGCCTCCTCCCGGCCTGAGCCAGTGTGAGGGCCATGGGCACATCTGACCAGGTGACATGAACAGAGGTCCTTCTACATACTGGAAAAAGTGTGAGGCAGAGTGTGTGTGCCTGTGCACACACACACGTCCACACACACGATCACCAACACAACACCAGGAGACAACTATCGGCCCCCCGTTTTATGGATAAGGAGACCGAGACTGGGAAGGAGTGTTCTCACGTCACAGTGGAGATGTGAGGGCTGGCCCTGACCCAGACCCTGGCACACAGCGGGCTCTGAGGTCCACCTCCTCCATGGCCAGCTGCATGGGGCGCCCTCGGGCAGCCCTGGGCCTGCTGCCTCCCGCTGGCTCCCAGACCCAGATACAGAGGGGACCCTCCCAGGGCAGATGCCGTTTCCCGGTGTCTCTGGGCTCCCGAGCGAGGGGAAGCAGGCCCTGGCAGGTGGCCTCCGTCCCTGGGATCTCCAACAGCGACGGTGACCAATCCGAGCACCAGAAGAGGTCAGGCCTCCTGGGCAGCTGGCCACCGAGCTGTCAACAGGAACAAGTCCCGTCCCCAGCTCAGCCAGAGTCCCCCAAGGACAGCTGGAAAGTGCCACTAGGTGTCTGCATTCCCAACTTCCCATGCTCCCTGTGTGCCCCGGTCTGCCCTGAGGTCTGCGACTCTGTCCTTCCTCACCTGTTGCTGTCTGCACCAGGAGGGCGAGTGGCCATCCGTCTGGTTGTTGGTCAACATCCTTACTCAACAAAAGAAAAGTTGGCGGTCACCAAACTGGGGGGAGGAATCTGTATCGATTCCCCCGTCTCCAAATCCCAACGGCAGAGCCACCCTGACTTGGTTCCTGGTGATGTCCCGCTCCTCCTCTCCCCTCCCGCTCCTCAGCCCAGGTGTCCTCTGGGCTACATCCTCGGGCTGGGCTGTCCCCATCTCTACTCTCATTGCTTCTGGTCTGAGTCGTGCAGACCCCCGGGCACAGCCGGCCAGGCCTCCGTGGGGTGTGCTGGGAGGAGGAAAGAATGAATGAACCTTCCTGGGCACCCTGGGCGCCGCGGCAGGAGGAGGCTGAGCCTGCTCCGAGGAGTCCATCCCACCCACCTCCAGAATTTGTCTTCGGGGGGAGAGCGGCCAGCTGCAGGTTCTGGACTGGCCGGTGCCTCCTGCTCCCAGAATGTGCTGGGCACCAGTC